AAGTTTTAAACATTAGACAAAATACTCTCAAAAGTTTAAAATTATAGAAATTAAAAGCTAAAAATTTAGAACTTGGCAAAGAAAAGAGTAATTGTGTGATATTTTTTTCATTAAGATATATAAATATAACTTATAATTTAAAGTTTGCTATTCCTTTTCAGAATCTGAAAATAGTCAAGTTGATACTGGTAAAACAAATAGTAATAATAACAAATTAAAATATCAAGTTAAAGAATAAAAATTTAAAAAAATATATAATAGATTAAAAATTAATGTTATATAAATTAAAGTACATGCATATAATTTTACCAATATGTTAAGAGCAGCAAAAATACATAAGTATCATTAATTGATAGAAGACTAAATCACAAAAAACTAATAAAATATTATAATATAATAGCTTAATATTAATTGATTATAATTTATAAATATTAATCTCTAATGGTAATAATATGTTATAGGGTAAAATATTATAAAGATTTATGTATGGAGAACTATTAGAAAATTTTGAGACATCATTCAAAAGAATCAAGCAGTTTTCATTTCAAATGGAATTTGAAACGTCCATAGATCACTTCAATTAACACTAACATAAGTTATATTTATCAAAGAAACACCGACAGAATACCCCTTGAAGAATATATTACACAACTTTGTTCCAATTAAATAAACATTCTTCAAGGAAGATAAAAGAAAAATTACTATGTCATGACTCTGCCTAAGCAAAAAAATATAAAATTGACCTTTTTCTTTTTCTGATATAGTATCACGACCACGTGTGACTTTATTTAGGGGTATGACCACTAACGAATGATCAATTCTTAAAGATACGATCAAAGATAATGATGTAATAGCACTATTAGAATTCAAGATCTCTAAATATAAAGGTAGTGTATTTCATTATTAAAATTCTTATTAAATGTCACTAAATATAAAATTCACCTTATATCTGTTTCAAATCTATAGAAGAGATATGCATATCATTATAAATTTTGTCAATAATATATATCAATCCAAAGATACAATTTACTGAAGAAATAAAAGAATAGTAAGTAAACCAAGCAAACATCCATATAACACCGTAAAGGAAAAAATATTATATTTTAAAGCTAATATGCAGCGCTCTTTTAGAGTAAGCTGCCAAGACAAAAGCATCTTCATTAAAGCTCTTTATAAATGCATAAGAAATTCAAATTACTAATATATACAACCATTATAAAATTCGAAAGAGGTATGATCTTAAAAAACCTACTCTAAAACTCATACAATTAAACCTAAGAATAATTACCAATATACAGACACACTATCGTACCTTTAAGGCAACGATAACTATCATTTATAATAGAGTTGAGCAGTGGTTCTATGTTTGCAAAGACTGTAACAAGTGGATAAAGATGTTAATAATAAGTGTCTAGATGATAAATGTTGTAAAATCGCTGATGTAGTACCAAGGTTAAGTGATATCCCTTCTTCATTAAATAAATATATCAAAATTAAATATTAATATTATAATCTAAAGCAATCTTCATTAAATAAATATATCAAAATTAAATATTAATATTATAATCTAAAGCAAATTGACAATAAAAATATAATGTATTTAGTTTAGATCCTCATGGAAAATGACACATACAAAGCAAATGTGTCATTATGACACAGCAAAAATTCTTATTGGATGCACAATAGAAGAATTCATTGCAGAGAAAATAGATGTAGCTCCTAACCTTATTTAAGTAATAAATTAAAAGCACAAAAAAATTCATATATATGAAATTAGCATTTATTTTTATTAAAATTGGAAAAAATCAAAGTCCGTATTGTCAGAACTTTGTGTCGAATATAAGAAATATATTCAACTTCTTTGTGAATTTAGATGAGAAGAGATGAATGAGCCCAAGAAAAGATAACATGCTCCAGTCTCATATCACAATCGATGTAGACGATGAAGATGAATTGCCCATGAAAAAAATAAAGATAAAGAAGGATTGATCTTGACTCAATTAAAAATAAAATAGAAGCAACAAAAGATAATGTTTTGTGAATTGTTATAGAATAGTTTTATTTTTTTTAGTAAAATTAGGAATCTTTAGAATGGATTTTCATAAACTATTTTTAGTGCTTTCGTATATGTGGATGTTTTTATTATATAAAAATGTACTAGAGTTAGTATTAATCTTAAGTTTATGATTTTTTTCATTAACTATTTTTTATCATTTTAGCCCACTTTAAATCAATCATCTTGGCTCGTTGGATTTATTATTCATCTTCCTTTTATAATGTTATTTTTTCAACTGTTTTCACTTTCATAACACTATACTTCCTCATGTCAAGATTGGTTTCATGCCGATCCAAATGAAATGAAAATTTAAATTGGCTTTAGATTATATTTATCTTCTGTCAATTCAACTATCAACATAAAAATTTAAACTGGATGTAGCCTATTTAAACAAATATCAAATAAATAAATAATTAAAATGTAATCAATGAACAAATTTTAGTAAGAACATAAATCAAAAATACTTAATCAAAGCGAGCAAAAATTATCAAAAAGTAACCAACAAACAAATTTTAGTAAGAAAATAAACCAAAAACACCTAATCACAGTATTTAACCACATGCATTGCACGTGCATAAAATCTAGTATATAATATATGTATAAGTATATATATAAGTATACAGTGTATACTCTCTTATATAAGTATATATTAGTATACTCTCTCTTATATATGTATAATATATGTATAAGTATATATACGTATACTCTCTCTTATATATGTATAATATATGTATATATATATGTGTGTGTGTGTGTGTGCTGTGTGTGTGTGTGTGTGTTGTGTGTATATGATATAATATATATATATATATATATATATACTATATATATATATATATAGGGAGAGGTTCTAATAAAAACCTCCTTAGGCCTAAAACTAAAAACCTCCTTCATCATGGCTAGGATTCAGTCAAACAGTCAACAGACACATGCATTAATTACCTCATTAAATACATGCATTAATTTACATCAACGGTAGTGAATCCGGATTCACTGTAGTGATTTGAGATACGTTGAGGTTAGTGAATCTGGATTCACTGCGTTAAGGTAATTAATGAGGTAATTAATGCATGTGTTTGTTGACTGTTTGACTGAATCACAGCCATGGATTCATCTAGATCCAATGAATGAGGAGGTTTTTAGTTTTAGCTAAGGAGTTTTTATAGAACCTCTCCCTATATATATATATAATATATAATATATATATATATAATATATATATATATATATATATAATGGTGTGTGTGTGTGTGTGTGTGTGTTGTGTGTGTGTGTGTGTGTGTGGTGTTGTGTGTTTTTTTTATGTAATTACTATAAGTATTTACATTTGTTTATGTATAATATATGTATATGTGTGTCAGTGTGTGTATGTATATATATATATATATATATATATATATATACATATACATATATTGTATGACATGAATACTTTAGGCTACTTAGTATATAAGTGTATATAAATATAAGTATATTCTCTCCTTATATATGTATATATCTCTTATATAATTATATATATGTATAAGTATGCTCTCTCTTATATATGTGTACGTGTATACCTCTCTATATATATATTTATACTCTCTCTCTTAGTAATATAGTATATATATGTATATATAAGTATATATATATGTATATATAAGTATACAATGCTGTACCCTTATATATATATATATATGATATATATATATATAATATATATATATTATATAGTATATATATATATATATATATATGATATATATATATTATATATATATATATATATATATATATATAATATGGAAAAAGTGAATCTGGCGGTGACTCCGTAGCTGGCTCTGAGGATGCGGAGATCTGGGGCGTTTATGTATAAACCTAATAAAGAGATCTGAGCCCTTCACTGAAAATCCTCTCCCCCAAAATCCCTACCCTTCTCATCATCTCTCCCGCGCAGGATCAGCGCTCCCGCTCCTTCCTCTCCAGCGCCGAAATCGCCCGGCGAGCTCTGGCCGCGCCGATCAGCGTGGCCGCCGAAGCTCGACGTCCCCGTTCAGCGTCGCCGCCGTCCCCTTGCCCTAGCCATCACCTCCCCTCCTCCTCTCCAGCTCCCGAGATCGCCGCCGCTGAGCGTCACCGCCGGGTCATCGCCGTCTACTCCTCCTCGCCATTGAGCTCAGCCCTCGTCATCAGCCACACCTCCGACGACATTCAAGCTCAGCCCTCAGGTTCATCGCCGCCTCCGGAGCTCGACCAAGCCCTCGACGTCAGCCCTCATGGCTTCGAACAAATTGAAAGCGTCGACGTCTTCAAATTCTACAAAATCAAAGCCTACCTCTTCTAAATGCAATAATCCTCCAACTCCTTAAGTAATTTGCCATGATATATTTAATTTTGAACTCTTTCTGAATTATAATTTTGTTGTAAGCCATGATGTATAATGTTTGTGTTAATAAACTTATTAATATGCGTCTTAATTTGCCCAAATATATTTAATTTTTAACTCTTTCTGAATTATAATTTTCTTGTAGGGCTAAGATAACACACTTGAGAATTCCGGCCAATTTGTGTTATTTTCGAGATTTAATTGATAAGCGAATAAAATTAGATGAAAGACACATAAAAGCCCTACAGACGACACCTTTTCACAGCTTTCTCAATATACCCACATCCTTGAGCAATGAGCAAATAGCAATTGATTGCTTGATTCAAAATTTTAATCCCGATAAATGCTCATTCATGATTGGGAATAAAAATTATGTGTTCGGTATAGATGATATTCACCGAATTACCGGATTGCCAAAGGATGGAATTCCGATAAAAATGAGTGGGGCAGCGACTAATACAATCTACACCTATTTTGTAAAGAATTATAAGAAAGCCGATGAGAAAAAGAAGGCGGTGATTTCGGGGAAGCGCGATAGAATGGCCGAGATGATTGTAGATATGATTAATGAAGGATAGAATGGCCGAGATGATTGTAGATATGATTAATGAAGACCCTATAATATGTGTGAAACTTATTGTGGCTTTCATTATCGGCTTCATATTATGCCCGCGGACATGTAAGACATGTCCCTTGTGGGCGTTTAGATATGCGGAGCAGTTATCAACTTTGCATAAATATAATTGGTGCCATGCGGTGTTCACTCTTCTTTGCAAAGAGATGAGTAAATCAAAGAAGTCTCTTAGTATGCGGGAATTAGGTCAGCGCTCAAATGCCGGGTACATGGGTGGTTTTTCCTCCGTTTTACTGGTGAGTTACATGAATATTAATTTGTATATCTTTTCATTTTGATAATGATTATTGTTTATGCACATGCTAATGTGTAGTTTCTTTTTTGTAGGTTTGGTTTTATGAAAAAGTGGGGGAATTAGAGTATACTTCAGATGTTGAAAGGTTACCGCTGCTCTTTTGTGTGAAGAGTACTGGAAAGTGGAGGAGGACTACTATGAACAAATTATATAGAGTCCCGAAGTTGGTTACGGATAATGGCTAAGAGAATACTCCTCTTATTCATACGGCATCGCCAAGAGTATTTGTACATAACGTTGCTCTAATAGTTCATTATTTTATGTCCCTTTTGTTAGTATCTATGTTTGCAACTATAGTATACGTACTAATACTAGCTTTTTTTTGTCAAATAGGAATCAAGGAAAGCTGAATTAATTTTCTTAATTGCGGAGAAGACGTACGAGTTGAATGAGCTCACTACAGAATTACGAGAATTAGAAGAGCGTAGTGCTAGATGCCAAAAAAAACCAAGGAGAAAGAGGATGACGGAAATGTAACTGAAGAAAAAAAAATCAAAGAGGATATGGAAGCTAAGGAATATGAGAATTTGGAAGGAACGGGGGAAGCCGATTTATGTGATGACTTTGTGATGAGCGCAAGAGACATGAGAATTTTAGAAGATGCTCGGTGAGTTTAGTTTTTTAAATTTTCTTACAATTTTAATTTTTATATTTTCCATATAATTCTTGTGTAACTCTTTGTTAATTATATGCCTTCTCGACTCTATAGAGATGTTTCTCAAAAAGATGAAGGTGGTAATGAGAATAACAGAGAAACGCCATCTATCAAACGGGCTGTCGGAAAGAGGGAGAGAAAGGATGGACCATCTGTTACTTCACCTTATATGCCTCTAGATCAACCAAAGAAAGGCACAAAGAAGAGACATGTCATCCAGATATTGGATAGTCCTGAGGGAAAAAAAAGTGCAAAAATCAAGAAGGCTTCATACCTACATCTAGAGACTATCCAGGTAAGGCACTGGCGTTTGATTATGAGAACAAATTAATTGAAGACTTTCTACAATCGAGAATGAACAGGTAAGTGTTACTGACTTATTCTAATAATAATCTTTGAATTTACTTAATTCTAGTAGCAATTTTCTCACAATGTGCTTGCATATAGTGATACGTACATTTGGAAGTGTGCCGAAGCAAGCGTATCTCGCTTAGATGCTTATATACTATTAACGGGAGGTGAACTCAGTGACGATGTAGGTTCTGAACAATTGTGTTATTGTTTGTTTGATGTTGTATATAAAATAATTTATATTAACTATTTTATTCATTCATGGTAAATTTTGTAGGTGATCGATGCATTTGTTATTCGGCTTTGTAACAAGATTGAAACAAATAATAGTTATGATCGAAAGATACATGTCACAAGACCTTGGCTTGCAGTAAGTATATCCTTGTTTTTTTCACTAATTGGTGGATATTATTATTATGTTATCCCACAATATTGACATTATTGCATCTTTTAGCAAGCAATTCTAGAAGGAAATCTAGAAATGGTGGCAAAACGAATGAAGGAAAATGTTTCTCAGCAGAAGTTCTTGGAGTGTGAAAGAATTCTGATCCCGATTGTCAGCTCCGGACATTGGCACCTGGTAGAGTTAGTGAGAGAGGAGAAAAAATTCTATCACTACTCCTCAATCAACTCCCCCATTTATACCGCCGATGCTGTGAAATTTAGAAATAAGTTTATGAGTTTCATTGAGAGTAATTGGGGATTGGGGAAATCGGAGCATCATGGTCTTGTGTGAGTTGCCGTGCCACAACAAGGACCGTAAGTGTTTCATGTATTTCTAATTTAATTGTTCATTTTTTTTGTTCATAGTCATTTTCAATATTGTAATATTTTTCCCCTAAATGCAGAACGTTAGATTGCGGGATCTTTATGATTGAATTCATTAACAGCATTGTCGAAAAACGGTCGATAACAATTTCAAAAGGAGATTGTGCAAAATATAGAGCAAAGTTTTGTGCTGCTCTTTTGTATGCACGCGATTCACCTTTTTTGTAAATATTATTTTAATTTTCTCCAAGGTTTTTGTTGTGTATTCAATGTTGTAAGTATGTTCATGTTGTTAATATGTTGTTAATTGTTTTGCGTGTACATTTACAGACAACTACGTTGTTGTTGTGTGTTGTAAGTATTTTCATGTTAAATGAGAAGTGAACTAGGGCTAACATAGCCACCAGAGCAAACACTTGTGCTAGAAATAACACCAGCCCGTAGTAGAATAACTCGAGAAGGGATAGAACTAACAGGATGGCAGCTAGAACTAACAAGCGTGAGGTAGGGCTAACATGGCCACCAGAGCAAACACTTTTGCTAGAAAGAACGCCAACCCACAGTAGAACTAACTCGAGAAGGGATAGAACTAACAGGAAGGCAACTAGAACTAACAAGCGTGAGGTAGGGCTAACATGGCCACCAAAACAAACACTTGTGCTAGAAATAACGTCAGCCCGCAGTAGAACTAACTCGAGAAGGGATAGAACTAACAGGAGGGCAGCTAGAACTAACAAGCTGTGGGGTAGGGCTAACATGGCCACCAAAACAAACACTTGTGCTAGAAATAACGCCAGCCCGCAGTAGAACTAACTCGAGAAGGGATAGAACTAACAGGAGGGCAGCTAGAACTAACAAGCTGTAGGGTAGGGCTAACATGGCCACCAGAACAAACACTTGTGCTAGAAATAACGCCAGCACGAAGTAGAACTAACTCGATAAGGGATAGAACTAACAGGAGGGTAGCTAGAACTAACAAGAAGTGAGGTAGGCCTAACATGGCCAACAGAACACACACTTGTGCTAGAAATAACGCCAGCACGAAGTAGAACTAACTCGAGAAGCGATAGAACTAACAGGAGGGCGGCTAGAACTAACAAGAAGTGAGGTAGGCCTAACATGGCCAACAGAACACATACTTGTACTAGAAATAACGCCAGCACGAAGTAGAACTAACTCGAGAAGGGGTAGAACTAACAGGAGGGCGGTTAGAACTAACAAATGTGAGGTAGGGCTAACATGGCCACCAAAACAAACACCTGTGCTAGAAATAACGCCAGCACGAAGTAGAACTAACTCGAGAAGGGGTAGAACTATTCAGGAGGGCAGCTAGAACTTACATATCCAATAGAACCAAAACTTAAACTAGAACTTAAAGTTATCTGGAGGTGGAAATAACACGAGATCAGCTAGAACTATCACATTTAATCTAGAACTAACATAGTCATTAGAACACAACTAGAACTAACATAGGCATTAGAACCCACATTTAAACTAGACCTTGCGTTATCTAACACGAGAATGGCTAGAACTAACACGGAAACGGCTAGAACGAACATTAGCCCAGGTAGAACTAACATATTCAATAGATCCAACACTTAAACTAACATTATTCACTTGCACTTGGCTGTGAAGGTTACCGAGATATTACCGAGATATTATAGGTTTGACTGCATTCATTGTTTTTGCATAGTTCCCAAGGTTGAATAGTTAACTCACCTTGCAAAAGTGCAGTCCCAAGGAGGAGAGTTAAGATAACGTGGTCCGGAACCTATCCCTACATCCCACGCGGAAACATCACCATCCCCAAAGCCTGTTCAACCCCAGGATAGGATTGATTACCTTTTCGGCACAATCTTTTTCGGATCTTCCCATCGCCGACTCTCTGTAGACTCTTCCTCATTTATTTTATAAACCCCATACTTTTACCCTCTCCCCTACACCTTCAAGTTCCCCTGTATATATGGCGTTGAAAAATCATGGCTAGTTCCTGTACATCCGATGAAGGTCATGGCCTGCCTGGGACGCACGCTGATGTGGATCTTGTATATCCCTCATGCTATCCCCATTGTCTTTGCTCTTAGTTCCATCAGTGGGTGAATATACCTGGCTCCCTTCAAAGAGTTTGTACATTAACGCCCAGTTAAGATTCATAAGCGCATAGAATACGATCAATTCAGATGGGTCATGCGTGAATCACATGGGGAGGCATGCAAATGCTGGAGAGAATTGTCCTTTGGCATACATTAACACTCTATAGCTATACAGTGTTAACGTAAGCCAGAGGACTATCTTTTTGCTAGCATTTGCATGCCTTCCTAGGTGATTCACGTATTGACCCGTCTGAATTGATCGTATTCCATGCGTTTATGAATCTTAACTGTTGTTATTGCACAAGCTCGTTGAAGGGAGCCAGGTATACTCACCCAAGATACTGGAACTAAGAGCAATGACACAGATTGTACATGCAGTTGACATTACTTTAATACAAGGTTGTTTTGTTAAGTCATCACGTTTTATTGTAAAGATTATGGACTGGTTGTATTGTTATGTTTGGCGTTGTGTTGTCAAGCTTATGGACGGATTGTCAAGGTTATGTTTTGGTTTTCAACCTCTCCGATTATCTGCTTTTTGCATTTAATTCTACTGTTGTTGTGAAGCTATCTGTTGTTTAGTCTTTGTATTGTTAGGCTTATGGACTTGTTCACAAGTTTAGATCTTGGTTTGTATTGTTAGTTCCAGCTTTGTCTATATTCTTCTATTGCCCAGATTCGAGTGGAATCAGATAGAAAATGATCAGTTTGTGCCATGTTAGTTCTAAGTTATGCCATGTTAGTTCTAACTTATGTCTTGTTGGTTCTAACTTATACCATGTTAGTTCTAATCTACACCATGTTAGTTCTAATTGTTGTTTTCACTGTAATTTCTCCGCTCGAACTCGGAATGAGGTGATTTAACATTTGTTGAAAAGCTGTTGAAGAGTCCTACAACTTTAGCAATTAGAACTAACATGGAGAATTGACAAACACTTGGGCAACGTTTTGTACCTCATTGCTATTTATAGATTCGTGTTAGTTATAAAATTGCTAGAACGAACATTAACCCAGGTAGAACTAACATATTCAATAGATCCAACACTTAAACTAGAACTTAAAGTTATATGGAGGTGGAAATAACACGAGAACAACTAAATTAACATATTTTAGCAATAAATTATGTTAGATATTACATTAACATATTAACTCTATATTAACTACATTTAATATATTATGTTAGATATTAAATTAACACCTTCTCAAACTCAAAACCAAAACACCAAAATTAAAACTTATTTTAGGTGTTTAGAAAAAGTGTTGCGTTTTTGGGTTGAAGACGATTTAGCTCAAAAAACACCATGGTATCCATACGGGAGCCTAAGTCATTTGTTTTACTGGTTTTGTTAGTTCTAGCTTAGATGTTGTTAGTTCTATCATCTGCCGTGTTAAGTCTAACAGCATTCATGTTAGTTCTATAGCCAGCTAGCGCTAGTTATAGTTTTAAGTATTGGTTCTATCGTCTTTGTTAGTTCAAGCTTAGTTGTTGTAAGTTATCGCTTCTCCAGTAATAGATCTAGCTGTTCTCGTGTTATTTCCACCTCCATATAACTTTAAGTTCTAGTTTAAGTGTTGGATCTATTGTACTTAATGAGTTATATTATATTATAATTATTACATATTATTTTCAAATAATTATATATTTAATAATTTTGGTATATCAAATTGTTATGGTTATATATTATATTATATTTTTAAAATAACCTTATTTTATTATTAATATAATATAATATTATACTATTGTTAATATAATATAATATTATACTCTCATTCATATAATATAATATTATTAATAATGTTAATATTATGTTATGACTAGTATGTTATTAATAAATTAATATATTATAAATATTTTAATATTATGTAATATATTATGGTCTTTAATAGGGCTGAGTTTATTAATAGTAATTTAATAATATATTAGTA